TTTTTAAATCAGAATGTGGAGCTGGTGATTTCTCAGTTTGCTGGCATGTAAAGCTGTTTGAAGGCACCCAGGGAGACCCATTCAGCTGCAGAACTTTGATTACATGTGGCTGGGGCCTCCTCTCCAGATGCTTCCCAATTACAGCCCAACCTCCCTGGGCTCCCCAGGGCCCAGTGGGACCTCTCTGGGGCTGACAGAGCCGTGGGTAGGGAGGCCAGCAGAGGTGCCTGAGCCACATGTTGGGGAAAAGGAATCACAATCGGATCCTAAGGATTAGGCTTGGGAAGATGGGAAGAATCATCAGCACTGCCCTTTGGCCTGGCAGCCAGGCTCCTGCCCTGGCCCCATGCTTTACAGGGCTCCCCGTGGGGCATGGAATCTGAGCCAGGAGCCCGTGCCCCTTATGGGCAGAGAGTGGGCAGGGTACTTGGGACCCTCTATTCCCTGTTCCCAGCACCTCCATGGACCTCCCCTAGGTGTTCCTTCCTGAGGGCAGGTTGTTGCTGGCATCCCTCTGCCTATACTGAGGGGTAGCCGGGGCGGGGGGCTGTTTGTGGGGAGGATGGAGAGAGCTTGGCCATGTGGATTCAGTGTTCACACGCAAGACCTCTCAGCGTCCCTGACAGAGTGAGGGGCAGGACGAGGAGGGGCTGAGGGGCTGCCAGACAGCAGACTGGCTCTTCCCCACCAGAACCCCAAGGATCTGAGGGTCTAACTGGGATCTGGCTTTCCAGGTTTCTGTGCTTGTCAAGATAGGAGGATAGAACTTGTTAGCTGGACGTGTGTTTAAATATTTATTTTTTAAATATATTTTATTGATTTCAGAGAGGAAGGGAATGATGCTTTCTGAACGACCCCCAGTGGGGATCAAGCCTGCAACCTCGGCATGTGCCCTGACTGGGAATTGAACCATGAACCAGGTCAATGCTCAACCACTGAGTCACACTGGCCAGGCTGTGTTTAAATAGACATGGCAGGAGGACTTCTATCTGTATTCTAGCTCAGGTAGGGAAAGATGGAGGGAA